ACTCCTAATTTCGTTTTTTTTTAATTTATTTTCACTTTCAAATCTTCACTAATTGATTTCATCTTTCTGAAGAGTATTTGTTATTCTTTTACTAACTTCTTGAGTTTTGACTACTTAATTCTTTTTTTTTTTTAAGATTTATTTATATTTATACAAGAACTGGGTTACAGGCCAGATGCGCAGGCGGGCAAGAGGATTCACTGGAGACAGAGCGGGGAGCAGAACAGGCAGACTGACAAAATACACTGATGAGGGAGCAAAGGGCGAGCAGGAGAGATCTGCCTCACCATGTGGGATTCTCACAGGTCGGCTGGGGTCGAACCCATGATGCAGAGGCTGCGGACAGCTTCACAGTGCAGTGCTCAACCGCCTGTGCCACCAGGAGGCCCCCCCCCTTTTTTTAAAGATTTTTTAAATTTATTTATACCAGAACTGGGGTACAGGCCAGGAGTGTGGGAGGGTGAGAGGATTCACCAGAGACAGAGTGGGGAACTGAACAGGCAGACTGACTGAAACACATTGCTGAGGGGAGCAGCGGGGTAAGACAGGAGAGGTCTGTCGCGCCATGTGGGTATCTCCACGGCTGGCAGGGATCAAACTGGCACTGCCGAGACTGTGGACAGCTTCACAGCGCTGCGCTTAACTACCTGCACCACCAAGGAGGCCCTTGAATACTTTATTCTTTCTCAATTATTAATGAGAACAATTTCCTCTTTGACTCAAAAACTTATTATTTCAGAGTTTTTAAAAAATTCCACATGACCAGCCCTCTTTGTTTTCTAGCTTTGCTATTAAATTCTAGCTTTAGTCCTATTTCCCTTGCTGCTCTCCATTTGTTTCCTTTTCTTTGCAACAAAACTCTCCAAAAGAACTACCTGTACTTGTGACATTTAAATTCTCTATTGTCTCAAATTCACTCTAATCATCAGGCTTCCCCTCCCAGCAGCTCCACATTGCTAAATCAATTCTCATTTTCATCTTATCTGATTTATCAGCATAGTATAGCACACAGCTACTCCAAAATTTGATTTTTTCATGTATTGTGTGAATAAGGGTCACGATTAATAAAATTTTCTGTGTAAAGAATACACATTTTTGTTAGATTTATCCCTATATATTTGACCTTTTGTTGATATACATTTAAATTATATATTATTTCCACTTTTCTCAATCTGCTTTATGGAAATATAACTACATATTGACTTTGTAACCAGAAAACTGTAATAAACTCACTTTTCAGTCCTAATAATTTCTAATACATAATCAAATCATCCAAAATAATGACACTTTTTACATTTCCAATTTTTATATCCTTAATTCATTTTTCTTGAATTACTGTATTGTCTAGGGACTTTGAAAACTATTTAAAAGGTGATAAATGGCATTCTTGATTTCTTAGAAAATTTTAAAACTGCATCATGAATGTTTGCTATAGATTCTACTGAAAATCTTCAGATTACATAAGTTTTTCTCTAATCCTATGTTGCTCAGAATTTTGACAAAGAACAAATGTTGAATTTTATCAAATTTTTTTTATATATATTGGTCTATCAGCTTTACTCCTTTGTGGATGGCACCTTTCCTCCAATTTGGTAATTCAGAATGACTGGTTTTTGAATGTTAAACTAGTTTTGTATTTCTTGAAAAATATAGATTGTATCAAAATATATTAATCTTCCTATAAACTGCAGACTTAATTTGACAAAATAAGCTATTCCCAAATAGGTTTGTATTTGGTGAGATTTGGCAGGTTATTTTTTGGGTCCGGAAACACTCTAAATTGGTTCCATATTAATTAATGATAATAGAAACACACACACACAAATTATACACAATCCATACCAAATTATATCAAATGAGTCTTCTACTTTTTGATAGTGAGGTAAATCTGTACATTATTTTGGCTATATTGTTAAGCAATATCAGCTGTAATTTTCTGTTCTTGTCAGAGCCTTTGTCAGGTTTCATTATCAAGATTATGTTGCCTTACATAATAAGTTGCGAAATGTATGTCCTTTTATCCTATTTCCTTGAAAAATTGTGGATGAAATTTTAGTTTGATGGTTATTTTTCTACATCACTTCAAAGCTATCTTTCCTTTGTTTTCTAGTTCTTTTTTTTTTTTTCCTGTAGAAAAACGAAACAGTCTTTTTCTGGCAATCTCATGGTTATTCATTTAAAAGTAATAACTGTCTTTTTCTCTCATTACTTTAAATAGTTTCTCTTTGAGTGTGGTTTTCACAGCTATGCCTGCAACATCTTGGTGTGGTCTTCTTTCATTGCTAGTGTGCATAAGATTCTTAAAACTTCTTGAATCTGTACCTTAATGTCTTTATCAAGCTTCAGAGATTTTTTCGGTTGTCATCTTTTCAGAGATTGCTTCTTCTGCTCTATTCTCCCTCAATTCTCCTTCTGGGATCCTGATCACCTTTTAAACACATTTTGTCCCAGATTAAATGATAGAAGATTAAAACTCCTTTTAATCTTCCTCCCTTGACAAGTGGGATCTATATCCTCTCTCTTATTCTGGGTAGGCTGTGTGACATGGCTATCAACAGAACACGAAACATGATGTTGTACCAGTGTCCAGGCCCAGGCTGTTACAGACTAAGAGTTCCCACATTTCCTTTCTCTTGGAATGCCTGCCGAGGGGAGGCAGCTGCCATGTAAGAAGTCTAGCACTCTGATCTTGCTAATTATGGAGAAATGCTGGCCAGTCCCAGAAATTCCAGCAATCCCTGCCCTGGCACTAGATAGAAGGGTCATTTTGAATGTCTTAGCCCCAGAAAATGATTGGGAGAAGAATGAAGGCCCCAAACATGTGGTCATAATGGAGATATCCCAGCTACCTCTAGCTGTTTGAATTAATCCAGTTGAAGATCAAGACTTTGTGGAGCACAGAAAAATAGAACTTGATATACCCTGACTAAATTCCTGACTCTCAGATTCATGAGGATAAAGAAAGTTGTTTTATGCCAGTGAGTTTTGGGGTCATTTGTTACTACTGGGAGAGGTAATCCTCCACCGTGGTCCCAACTGTCTCTGCACATTCTGGATAGGTTTGCTAAGAATGTCAGCTCTTGACAAATCTTAGAGGGACTATTTCTTATGGCTGGGTTTGCAGTTAGCCACTTTGAGGGATAAATAACAACGTCTTCTGTGTTAAAAAGTAGTCTCACTATAAAAGGGGCAAATTCCCCAAATTCACTGTTCCTTAGATGTGAAGCAAACTCATTCCCACAGCACCCACATAAATCCCTCCATGTTACCACTGTGACAAGTGTTGAGACCAAAAGAACTGACAGTATTATGTCATTTTGCTTTCTGTAAATACTAGTCCTTGTCTCTGACTCAGGACTCTACCAGCATGCATGAAGCATCATTTTTTGCTTACAAGGTAAAAGCCCAAACCTTTTACAATTCCTCACAGGTACAGAGTAAGAGGTACTGTCTTTTCTGTATTTTCTACCTTTTGCCTCATTGCATTTCATTTAAGTATTTTCTTCTTATCAAAATTCAAATTCACTAATTCTCTCTTCATTGTGGTCTTATTTGCAGTTAAAATCATTTCCAATAGACTATGCTATTTTTGAGGGTTTTTTCTCTTTTTGTGGGACCCTCACTAGTGGCCAGGGAATGAACCGGTGCTGCAGAAGCTGCAGGCAGTCTCGCAGACCAGCGCTCAACTGCCGTGCCACCAGGGGAGGCCCTATTTTTGAGTTTTTTTTTTTAATTCTCAATTCTTTTTTTCCCCACCAACACAATGTTTATTTATTTTAAAGTTCATATATAAGAATTACATTAAGATTCCATGTAGATACTTCTATTGTCTATTATTGCTCTTCAGTTTTATTACATTGTTTCCTTATGCCTTTTTAATTCATTGTTTGATACTACCTATGAAAAATTCAGAGATAATTTAAGACTCAGAGTAATGTTTAAAAATAATTTCACAGATGCCCCACAGAGGACCTGACAATCACCTGAAGACCCTTATATATCAAATATTTCGATATTACATGCAGGGTAATGTCACCTTCCTCCAAAGAGTATTAAATTTACTTCTAGCAGGTGGCTAGATATACTAAAGTTATAGATCACATTAATCTAATCATTAATTGAGCTATGTCAAAACTGGTATTTATTTCTAAAGTATAGAACTTTGGAGTTCCAATTAAAGCAGAGAGGGCTGGTCAGGACCAACAACCCAAACTAGGTGGGCTATAAATACCTGTTTTAGTTTTTCTAGACTAAAATGTCAATGAAAATCTCTGCTCAGTTTCTCATCCACCTTTCCCAGAATCCGCAGATGCTACCAAGGATAAAAGTAGCCTGGAATGGTAGGCCCATCTCTCTGCCTTAATAACATTCTGATATATTCAGATACATGTTTTATATTTTGTACAGTTTTTCTAATTTTTAAAGTGGAGTGTTAATCCTAAATTATTTAGTCAACATTACCCAAAGGGAACTGCTTCATAAACAGATTTAATGTTTAATATTTAAGTGTTTTTTAGAAGTTGTTGTTTTCCCTGATTATTGGCCAGACCCAAAGAGGATGTTTTCAAAATAATCATTGTACAAAACTTCTTTAAAGGTGATGTGTATATTCAAATAATCAGAAAGAAACACCTTGTTAAACTATGAATGTCTTTATAAAATGTATTTACACAAAAATATTTTAAATGGAGTAATAGAGAGGCACCACTTGGAATAAAACAACTTTTCAAAAGTTTTTTTTTTTAAAGAAGTTACTGAAATAATTTCACATTCAAATTAGAAAAAAGAAAAACTATCAGCTTTCATATTTTAATGCTTTGATTCAAATTGCCTTTAAATATTTACAAACATTATCTAAAAAGTGTCATTTATCAGACTTAGTACTTTTAAAACATTCCAAAGTAGTTTTTTCTTGTATTCATTTTCTCTTGGAAAATTACATAATTTTATTAAGATCTGAAGTTTACTGAATGTGTAATAGAGCATCAGTCAACACTTACCATGGAAAATACGAAAATCAATATATGGATGAGAACCTCTTCTTTCTGATTCAAATCCTGCTCGACTCCTTACCCGTACATCTCCTGGACAGAATAAAGCAAAGCACAAGTTTAGAAAGCCGTCATTTAAGAAGTTCCATACACCAGGGCCTCCCTGGTGGTGCAAGGGATTAAGCACCGCACTACGAAGCAATCTGCAGCCTCTGCAGCATAAGTTCGATCCCCAGCCAGCCAGGGAGCAACCCACATGGCGAGGCAGACCTCTCCTGTGTCACCCGCTGCTCCCCTCAGCAGTGTATTTCAGTCAGTCTGCCTGCTCTGTACTCCACTCTGTCTCTGGTGAATCCTCTCACCCCCTGCATCTCTGGCCTGTACCCCAACTCTTATATACACAAATAAATCTTTTTTTTAAAAAAAAGAAGTTCCATACACCAAAGGTCTATGTGTAACCATATCCATGAGTAATGGGCCACCAATGACATACAGAGAATAACTACTTAAGAGCTTATTTATTTGAAAGGTTTACAAATTTTCAGTACTGAGTTCTGAAGCTAGATAATTTCTTTTTAAATTCCAACCCTACAGTAATTCTTATGCTCTACATTTAAAATCATTGGAAAGATGACTCAAATGTACTATAGTCAAACCTAATATCTTATTACTCATGATAAGTTAAAAAAAATTCTCAGCATAAAACATTAAAAAGCCACAATGAAAAAAAGCAAGCATTTATTTAGTTTCTAGTGAATGCCAAACACTGTACTACAGCTATAAGGGAAAGAAAATACATTACCTATTCTCAAAAGCAGCTGACAATTTAAAAAATATACAGAAAATTAAGATGGTAAAATTTGCCTTAAATGTTAACTTTGATCAATCTTTTCTCATTGACAGCAGGTATATAAGGCCTTTAGTTGGGTATAAAAACTTGGTTTTTATAAGCTCATATTGTTTCCATGTGTCCAAATGACTTTCAGATTTACTCCTCTAGCAACATAACCACTACAATCACATTCCAGGAACTTTTTTGTGCCTTATAGCCATTATTAAATTTTCTTAACCAACTGTGATAGAAATCTTAATCCCTATTTTACAGATACAGAAACAGACAGAGAATTTAAGTAACATGCTTATGCCACAAAGGTAGTATAAAGAGGAGAGTTAGGCTCTAAATCTTTGGAGTTCTGTAGGCTACAAAAATAACATTCTTTCAAATATACCTTCCCACCTTCAACGTTTATAACTTTTAAGTTTTCAGCCCTTATATCTGTATTCTTGCAGTCTGCTTGCCTGGAAGGCTCTCCTGTTTATTGTTTCTCTCTATTATGTCATCATTTCCTTCGTGGCTCATTTCATCTATCATGAGTCCATCTCAATTAAAAAAAAAAATCACTTCTTTCATGTAGTGATTCCTCCACTCTGCAAAAGTTGTTTACTGAGCACACAGAAACTGTCAGACCCTGGAAATCCAGCAGTGAGCAAACCACATAAATTGCTTGTCATCATGAAGCTTATCTTTTTGTGCGGTGTGACAAATAATAAAACAAATAATCTCATTCTATGGAAGATGGTAATGAGTAACATGGAGAAAACCAATACAAGGTAAAAGAAAGTTAGGGAAGAGTCAGGGAGGGGTGTTTCATTTGTGTGGTCTAGGACAACCTCACTGAAAAAGAGGTATTTGTGCAGGGATCTGAAGAAAGAGCTTTCCAGGTATGAGGAAGAGCAAGTACAAATACCCTGAAATGGATGCAAGCTTAGTATGTTCAAGAACAAGCAAGAAGGAAGCATGGTTGGAGTGAGGTGAGTGAGGGGATGTGGTGGAAGTTCCCTCTAAGATCAGAGAGGTAGCAGGGCCAGATCATGTTGGACCCTAATGGGTCATTATAAAAGCTTTGGATACAGCACTCCTGCTTGCCTGTGACCATACAAGTGCCTCTTTCTTTTTCCATTCCCTAATAAATCTGTCCTTTTGAAATGTAAAAAAACAAACAAAAATAACCCCCCCCCCGCCCCCCTACACACCTTGGCTGTTACTCTGAGATAGAAAACCACTGGAGAATTCTGAACAGAAGCATGAGATAATTTACATCTAAATAGGTTCAATCTGTCTGCATGGACTAGAACCCAGTAGAAGCACAAAAGCAGATACAAGGGAAACCATTAAGGAGAAATGCAAAAATAAGCAAGGCAATAATAAACAAGGCTTGAGGGGGAGGGGTATATGGTGACATATTGATCAAGGGATACAAAATTTCAGTTATGCAAGATATTGTTCTGGTGATCTTTTTTTTTTAATATTTATTTTTTATTTATACAGTAGCCGGGGTACAGGCCGGAGACACAGGAGGGTGAGAGGACTCACCAGAGACAGGGCAAGGAGCAGAACAGGCAGATAGACCAAAAGCACTGCTGAGGGAAGCAGGGGAGAGGTCTGCTGTGCCAACTGGGAATCTCCCTGGCTGGCTGGGAATAGAACCCGCTCTGCAGAGGCTGCGGACAGCCTCACAGCACGGTGCTCAACCTGCTGGGCCACCAGGGAGGCCCTAAGTTCTGGTGATCTAATTAGCAACAATGTGGCTAAGAGTTAATAACTACAGTTAGGTCAAGATGATAATATGATAGGAGTGATGAAATTCTGGATATGCTTTGAAGGTATCAGTCAAGAGGATTTGCTGTAGTGTGTAAGAAATAAGAGCTTAACTATTCTAAAGTTTTTTATCTGACAACCAAAAGAATGGATTTACATTTTCTGTGACAGTAAAAGACTGCAAAATCAAGAGATTTGGGATATACAAATCTTTTAATAGTCATGTTAAATGTGATGAACCAATGATATGCATTCATGTGCACATGCTTCAGAGTTAAACATGAGTCTAAAGAAATATATTTTTTGTTTTTAATTATATTTAGTGAGCTAACACTTCACATGTTTTAGGGGTACAAAGTTCACACCTCTATATAAATGTATGTTATCAAACCATGCCCCCTACCAAAGTCCCAACGTTCTACACTTTCATCCATTGGGTCTCCTTCCCCCTTTGTTTCCCACTTTTCCTCCCCTTCTGGTAGCCACAGTTCTGTAATCATATTTCAAGGGCTTGTTTTTGTGTTCCTTTGCTTTGTTTCTTTATATTCCACAGGAGTGAATTCTTCTGGTATTTGTCTTCCTCCTTCTACTTACTTCACTTAGCATAATCCCCTCCACTTCTGTTCATGTTGCTGCAAATGTCTACTTTTTTTTTAATAGCTGAGCAGTATTCCATGTATCTATATACCGCATCTTTCTTAATCCACTCATCTGTCTTTGGGCATGTTTCCACAGGTTGGCTATTGTAAATATTGCTGAAATGTACATAGGAGTGCATATACCCCTTGAATTAGTGTTTCTGTTTTCTTCCAGTAGATATTTGGGAGTGGGGTTTTGTATCACATGGATCTATTTTAATATTTTGAGAAGCTTCCACTGTGTTTTTCCATAGAAGATAGACTAATCTATTTTCCTTCCTGCAAACTATGAGGGTTCTTTGTTCTCCACACCTTCTTTATTCTCCACACCCTCACCAGTAATCTGGTCTTTTTGATATGGGCCATTCTCACAGGTGTAAAGCAGTATCTTATTGTGGTTTTGACTTGTGTTTCCCTGATAATATGTGAACATTTTTTTTCAAGTGCTTATTGGTAATCTGCATGGTTTTTTTTGGAGAAGTGTCTTTAGTTCCATTGCCCACTTTTGACTGGGTTGTTTTCTTTCTGTTGAGCAGTGTGAGTTCTTTGTACATGCTAAATATTAACCCCTTGTTGTATGAATGTGAAAATATTTTCTCCTATTCAGTAGGGTGCCTTTCTAATGGTAGTTTCTTTTGCTGTGCATAAGTTTTTGCTTTTGTTTTTAAAGATTTATTTATGCATACAAGAACTGGGGTACAGGCCAAAGATGGGGGGGTGAGAGGATTCACCAGAGTCACAGTGGGGAGGAGAAAAGGCAGATCTGAAATACACTGCTGAGGGGAGCAGTGGGCGAGAAAGGAGAGGTCTGCTGCACCATGTGGGTAGCTCCCTGGCTGGGGATCGAACTCATGCTGCAGTGGCTGCAGATAGCTCCAAAGGTTGCGTCTTAACCCCGTGCACCACTAGAGAGACCCTGTGCAGAAGATTTTTAATTTGATGTAGTCCCATTTGTTTATTTTTGCTTGTTTCCCTTGCCACTGTAATCAAGTTCTCAAAGACTTCACTGAAGCCAATGTGAACATTTTGCTTTTGTTTTATTCTGTTATTTTATTGCTTTAGGCTTTATACTCAAGTCTTTCAATTTTTCATTAATTTGTAATTGTAGATATGGCATGAGATAGTGGCCTAGTTCATTTGAGTTTTAGGAGAGTAAATCCTGAGTATGCACATAGAGCGATGAATAAAAAGGCTGAACATTTGTGGGAGGAAAATATGTACTAGAGCAGATTAACAAAGGCAAATAAGATACACAAGGTAAATTGAGGGGGGAAAAGAGCAAAAACAAGGCATTGGAAAACACTTAGGCTTTAGAGTATGAAAAGAAATTAGTGAAAGAGGCAAAGAAAAGACAGTACTTAAAGAATAAGATTGGCTCAGTATCAAAGCTGAGATTCTGAGCAAGAAGGAAGAAGTCATGGAAGACTTCTCTAAGAATCGATAAGTAAATTTGCCTATTACAATCTTAGTAGTACATTTTTAATAGTATGAATTAAAGTGCCAGGGATGAAGGAGCATGGGAATGAAGAGAGAGATCTAGCGAAGAGTGAGAGAAAGAAAACCATACATATATGCACATATATATTCATTTTATCTTGTAAACTTGAATAATGCATTAAAAATTTAAGAAGCAGGACTAGAAGACAAATGATTTTCCTTGCCAACTAAGTTACAGCAAAAATACATCCAGTGACAGGATTATCTGATCAGGTATTTCATGGTCTCATCTTTGTTCATATCAGCATGGACATCTTTAGTATTTAGCAACTCTACAAATCTAAAACTCTTTTTTAATTTTATTTTTTTAATTATTTAAAAAAATTTTTTACATCATTGTTCATTTTTAAACAATATTTGCTTCCCCCTCGCTCCCTCAGGAGTAGTCCCCATAGAGTTTCCTTCACCAATGTACCCATGCACCATTACCTCAGTCCCCTGTGCTCCTCCCTCACTCTCTCCCTCCCTCTGATCCCTCTCCCTCCTCCTCCCCTGCAGTATTTTTATGAAGAATATGCACACAATTTTAAATTATACCAATGACAGAGTTCTATTAAGACAGATACTTTCAATTACCTACAACTCTAAGTTGTAGGTCACATTGCATTCAATACAGGTTTTTCAACTGTAAGCCTCAAAGTAAAATTATTTCTGCTGCAAACACTGATGAAAAGCTACCTAACAAAAGATCTCTCAATCACAAGTAATAATAAATGAAATTAAATGACACTGATAATAAATAATGCTTACCTAGCATACGAATGTACAATGCGGTCTGATCAGAACTGTCATAGGAAATTGCGCCACGCCTCTAGGAAAAAAAAAAAACATTTTTTTAATGCATGATGAGTAAATGTGATCTAATATCCAATTCAACAAACATGTATCTATTGTTTTTGAAAGACTGTGCAAGAGAAATTAGATATGGTATCTATTCTTGAAATCTCTAGTCCTGAAGAAGAATTACAATATATCATGGTTAAGCATTACTATAAACATAGTTAGGAACATGCAGTAGGGTAGAATTTAACCTGATGGAGTAAGTCACACAAATCCATGTGAGGAAAGGCTTTCTGCAGGGGTAGACACAACTAAAGAAGAGATATGATCCAAGTACTATACTTAAAAGAATGAGTAGGGAGGCAAACAAGAATCATTAGACTTGTGAAGAAATCTATTATCTAGAAACAAAGAACAAAATGAAAACCAAATGGCCCAAAGGTTACAAAAAGTGAGAATTTTAAAATACATTATTAGAGTAATTAGAGATCTGAGAATACACTGGTTCTACAAAACAAAAATATTGGGCCACTGAAAGATTTAAAATTACATTTCATAATTAAAATATATAAAAATTTATCTTGCATCATTATTAATAGTCCCAAACTGCAAACAGCCTAAATGTCATCAACTAATGAATGGCTAAACATGGTATATCCATACAAAGGAATAATATCTATACATAAAAAGGAATGAAATAATGGGCCTCCCCGGTGGCGCAGCGGTTGAGTGCTGGGTTGCGAAGCTGCCCGCAGCCTCTCCAGCGCCGGTTCGATCCCCGGCCACCGGGCGAGGGTCCCACATGGCGCGCAGACCTCTCCTGCCGCCCGCCAGTCCCCTCAGCATTGTATTTCGTCACTCTGCCTGCTCTGCTCTCCCCTCTGGCTCTGGTGAATTCTCTCACCCTCCCGCGCATCTGACTGTACCCAGTGCTTGTATAAATAAATAATCTTTTTTTTTTTTTTAAAAAGGAATGAAGTAATGATATATGCTACAACATGCATTATCCTTGAGAACACTGTGTTGAAAGTACCACAGTGTATGCCACTAAAATAAAATGTCCAAAACAGGCAAATCCATAGGAATAAAAAGTATATTGGTGATTGCTACAAATTTGAGGGAAATGGGGAATAAAACCCAATGGGTATTAGTATTAATTAGAATTAACTGCAGCAATGATTGTACAACTCTGAACATACTAAAAATTATTGGATTGTGCCCTTCACATGGATAAACTGTACAGTATGTTAATTATATCTCAATTCAAGTTTTATATTAAAAATTGAAACTATTATTACTAAAACAAAAATATTTATAAGACCTAAAACACCCTCAGCAAGTTCTGCTAACTCTACCTTTCTCCATCTATATCTCAATTTCTTCATTCTGTCTCAGGCAACATCTCTCACCTGTATCCCTGCAATGATTTTCCTGCTGCATCTCTTGGCTCCCAGGCTACTCTTTACATAGAAGCAAGAGTGAGCATTTTAGCCACTGTTTTAAATCCTCCAGTGTCTCCCCATTGTACATAAAATAAACTTAAAATTCAAAGCTCTGATTTCTAAAAGCCTCAATGATCTCACTACTATTCATAAAATGAAAGGAAAAAAGAGTGTCTTATAAGATTAGAAATTATAAAGTGATAATAGTGTGGTAAGACATACAACTCACAAGGACGTGATAAACTGAAAAATAGAAAAGATGCTTGACTTCATGAGCAAAAGAGATGTACAATAAAACAAGAGATCACATTTACATATTGGATTAATGATCTTCCCTCTCAAAACTCTGGCATGAGATTTACAACTCAACACACTAGAACAAATGTCATGGAAAAAATATTTTTTTACTACTATTGTAAAGAAAATTTACTTTCTGTAAAGTCTTTACTGCCTGGATTCAGTATGCAAAACAAATCCTCAGTGATTGCCTCTAGGAAGACTGAGGGATAGAGAGGTAGGAGGAAAAGCTTTTAATGTTTATCTTCTGAATTTCACATGCCATTATATAATTATAAAAAATTAAAAGAATATACTACAAAGAAATCCATGAAGAAAAACAATCTCAAATACTAAGGAACTAAATGTTTCATGGTAGCAGTCACTGTAATCACTTGGTATTAAAAGACACCACTCACACCTGCTATTCCAATCTCTCCAAGACATGTAGCTTATTAGATTACAGGCCTCCCCTTAATACAATATTAGGGGAAAACCTAGTAAATTGGAGAGCACATACGTGGAAATAAATATTTCTATCAACCAAATCATATCAATGAAACTAGAGATATTATATAACAGCTTGTGCATACCTACAACCTGCTAGTGTCCAGTAACAACTTGGCAAACAGCTTTTTATTTTTTTTTTTAAATATTTATTTGTTTATTTATTTATACAAGCACTGGGTAGAGTCAGAAGCGCGGAAGGGTGAGAGAATTCACCAGAGCCAGAGCGGGGAGCAGAGCAGGCAGAAGGACTGAAGTACACTGCTGAGGGGAGCAGCGGGCGGCAGGAGAGGTCTGCGCACCATGTGGGACCCTCCTCCGGTGGCAGGGGAGCAGCTGGGGATCGAACTGGTGCTGCAGAGGCCGAGGGCAGCTTCGCAACCCAGCGCTCAACCGCTGCACCACCGGGGAGGCCCGCAAACAGCTTTTTAAAACATTAACCTAATATCTCTAACAGTCCTTTTTCTGAAGAATGTTGGAATACTATATTTAGTGTAGAAAGGGTATTTACTAAAACAATAACTAATTAGAAATGCAAAAATCATTTATTACTTCACTTATTAAGGACTGAGAAAGACTACAAACATCAACTCTTAAAATATGTCAAAAATTGACAAATGGACATAACCTAGATTATCCTACAACTACGATATACTAAATTTATTTTAAGGTAATCATTTTAGATTTATTTATAGAGGAAGTAATTTTAAGTATTAAAGTGGTAGGGCCTGTATAACTAATCATGAAAAACTGGCAAAGGGTAGAATTTAATTTCAAATATATAATAAGTTACATAGGAATATATTGAAAACATTCAAGTTATTCTATTCATTAAAGATTTAAGTAAGTCTGGTCCACAAATACCTTAAATGTTATACTAAATCAAAAGACATAACTCTTATGAAATAAATTCAAATGAGACAATTTTCTAAAATATGGACTTTAAAATATCTATCTGAATGCATCAATATTTCCCGAGTGAAAGTTATTCATTTATCTCCTGAGAGATCAAGATTAAAACAAACATTATTAAATTCTCTTACTAAGCAATCTAAGTAGGATAATCTGAAAAGTAACCTGTGTTAGAGAAATATACATAAATTGTGAACTGCAAAAATTTTTTTATTTTCATGTTATAATGGTTATTTTTCTTCAATTATAGATGCTTTATGCACTAACAGCAGCACAGATGTTACATGATTTTTTAAGATTGTCATTTTAAAAGTCATACTAGTAAAATTCTATTTTTAATAAAATTAGGAAAACAAAATTAATCAAAACCCTGTGTCACACTGTCAGTCATAAAACACTGAACTATCATCCACATTGCCACTTCATCTCACCAGTGAATGGAAATAACTGAGAAGCTTCTACTCGTGACTCTTCTAATTTAGCCATGCTGGGAACAGCTTGTAAAGCAAACTAGTATAGGTCAAAACATGGGCGAGGCCGAGCTAATCAGAAACTGACAGCTACAGCATAAACAAGTTAAACTGCAAGGTTCCAAAAGGATCCATGGCCACACAAACAGGAGTTCTGAGTGTCCTGTTAAGACACTCACCTGGAATCAGTCACTCTTCCACATAAGTTTTGACTTAAAAGGTTAAATGACAAAAGGTGTTTACAATATTAGTTAATACATAACTTTTTAAAGACAGATGTTTTCAAACTGAGCAAAGAATATTTTACGTGTCATTGTTTTTTTGTCTTGTTCAAGTTTTCCACTAAACTGATCTATTGTAAAGCATGTGTTCTCTTACATGGTAAAAGTAATAATATATTAACTATCACTTTTTGAGTCCCTACTCTGTGCCAGAAAAATGTGCCAGGTGCTTTTATACAAAAATCTCATTTAACCCACACAGGGCCTGTATAAGGTAGGTTTTATTGGACCCATTTTGTAGTTTAACATACTGATGGTCAAAGGCTATCTCACCCCATTTATTTAGTAGCACTAAATAATTTTTGGGGTAACATTACCAAAAAAATTAACATATTATTCAAATATTATCTTTTCCATTACTCTTCTCTATGCAAACAATACATTTTTAAAAAAATCACAAACATTAGCAGTCTATGTCTAAAAACTTATGTTTTGGTGATAAAAAAGGAAAAAGTATCTGTAAACATCCACAATTCAACTCATGTAGTACTAATATTATCTTGACCTTTATTCAATAATGTGGTAAGCTAATCTTTTAAAAAACAATGAGTAAATAGCTGTCAGTGCAACAAAATGCTTATAAAACAAGGATTTTAAAATTTTTGTACTTTAAGAGATTTCTTTAATCATTCACTAAGAAAACATGATCACTTCAAATAAAAGATAAGTATGCTTAAAATGTTATATTTAAATGTGAAACATTATGTATCAGGGATTAAAATCTTGCTTGAAAAAGAAATTTAGCTTTATTGAAGCTCTATGTTGCTTATTAAATAGCAGTAGCTTTACAAACTTAAAATTAATACTCTTCAATTTCTTAATACAGAAAGAATGCTGAATGGTAGGTGAAAGAATTATTTTTATGCAAATACAGATAAATTTTAAGTAATATTTTTAGTTTAGACTCATCTAAAGGGCAAATGATTAGCATCCCAGCAAACATTTCTCAAGTCTGATGTTTAGGATTCAACTTGAAAAACATACACAATCACATTACTTTTTTCCCCACCACACTGACTTAATTACAAGTCAGTCAAACAGTTTAGCAGCACAGGACCTTAGGAGAGGACACAATAGAGGATGGTATAAGTTTATAGCTGTTTAGAAATCTTTGATACTTTAAATATATTAGCATTAGTAAAG